TGCTGTGTTGTTGATAGGCTTGTGCTTCTGCCTTGGATTCTGTTGAACAGTCCTTATTAGGCCTTCACTGCTCAACTTTGTCTTGATGGCATATCTCTGCACAGATTTAGTTTGATTTTTTTTTTCTTCTCTAATAGCAAAGTTTTAGCTGGGCAGTGGTGGTGCATGCCTTCGAGTCCAGCCTGGTCTACAGAACAAGTTCCAGGACAACCAAATCTACACAGAGAAACCCTGCCTTGAAAAACTAAAGAAAAAAAAAGAAAGCCAACACTAACTTCTTTAAATAAGATGGTTGATGGTTAGTGTCTCCTTCCAGAGACTACTCAGGGCAAACTTTGTGAAATACGGGATTGTTTCTGTAGTAATACATCATTATCATCCAGTGGACTGCATCGCATTTCCCTCATTAAAGACCTTAAGATTCTGCTTTTGCTGGACAGTGGTGGCGTGCACCTTTAATCCCAGCACTTGGTAGGCAGAGGCAGGTGGATCTTTATATGACTTTGAGGCCAGCCTATAGAGTGAGTTCCAGGACAGCCAGGAATACACCAAGATCCCCTGTCTCCAAAAAAAAAAAAAAAAAAAAGATTCTACTCGACGTATTATAGGAATTGCTTGGAGTACTTTCTTGTTTAATTTTTTTTTATTTATTGTATGGGGGCATTAGAAGGTGGTCTTACTGTATGGTCCAGCCTGTGCTAGAATTCAAGATCTTGCTGCTTGTGCCTCCTGAATGCTAGATTTACAGGCATATTTCCCCCACATCCTCCCAAGAGCATATTATTGTTTTGAAGGAAAACACTATAAACATGCACCTTTAAGAAAACAGCTCTAGGAACTGAAAAGATGATGGCTCAGTGGTTAAGACCATTGGCTGCTCTTCCAGAGGACCCTAGTTCAATTCCCAGCATCCACATGGCAGCTCACAGCTGTCTGTACTTCAGTTCTTGGGGCGCTGGCACCCTCATACGGGTGCATGAAGGCAAAACATAAAATGCACATTAATTTTTTTTTTTTAAGAAATCTTAAAAACCTTTTTCTAAAAAGTGCCTCTGATTCTAACATAGTAAGCTAAGGGCTCAGGATCTCTAAGTTAGAGGCCCTCCCCAGCTAAGTGATATATAAATACTTAGTCTCAAGAAAAGGAGCAGAGGCCATCTAAATAAGCCATGTGAGGCCAAGACGTAGGCCAACCCAGGCCATAAAATGAAGTCAAGGCCTGCATGCAGTGTTAGGGAAGCCCAGTGTCAAAAGTCAGGTGGTGGCGATGTAGATGAGTGGCAGAGACCGTGGCTAAGAAGGAAAGAGGCTTCTACTTTCATCATGATTTATATTAAATAGAACAAAATGAGCAGTAGATGACTGAGCCAGTTTTGGAAAAAAGAGTTTGTTTTGTTTTGGCACCCATGAAGTATCATGATTCTTGTTGTGTGATTCAGTGGTTGTTTTTTGTTTGTTTGTTTCTGAGTTAGGTTTTTGTTTGTTTGTTTTTGTCTTCTTTGTGTTTTGTTTTGAAACAGGCTTCCTCTGTATAGTCAGTCCTGGCTATCCTGGAACTCAAATCCACCTGCGTCTTCCTGCTAGGATTAAAGGCCTGTGCCATCAGCCTGGTTTGAGACCATCTTAGTATGTTGTCTAGGACTTGAACTTTCTGGAACAGTGTCATGAATTTAAGTAAACTAGTAGCCAAGGACAACCTTTTAACTCCCCATCCTCCTGCCTCTACTTCCGAAATGCCAGGCATTGGCAACCACTTACAGCTTCTATCTTTTTTTTTTTTTTTTAAATGGTGGGAAAAACAATGTTTAAACTTAGCCAACTGAGCTCCACAGAGATCATAGTCTACCCACCTGGGCATCAGCGCATGATCAGGAGGCAACCGAACCTAACCTTCCCCCAGTGGGACCATGTAGGGTTTTGCCTCCTTGGGGTCTTTTGAGTTTGGTGCTTATTTGGGCCTTGACATCTCCAGTGTGTACAAGTATGTTGTCTGTCTTCTGGTGTTTTTGGTTGATTCTGTGCTTAAAAGGAGTTTGGTGATTGTCTACTGGACAAGCCTGCTTCTATGGGGGCATTCTGAGGGTGTTTGACAACCTGTAAAACTGGCTTCTTGGACTGCTGGAAGGTAGGGGAAGGTGAATGACAGACATGGTCATGGACATCTCAGCACTGCCTTTTTGGTTTTCAAAGTCATGGATTTTACTTTAGAGATGGCAGGAATAACTTCTGTTATTTCTGTGTCATTTTGATGAGTAGCTTGATACATAAGTCCATAAAAGGATTTTGACGTGGTTGGGGTCTTAGGCTTCTAAGTCAGTGGTTCTCAGCCTATGAGTTGAAATTCCTTTGTGGGGGAGGGTCTCATATCAGATATCCTGCATATCAAATACATTGCAATTGATAACAGTAGCAAAATTATAGTTATAAAGTAGTAATGAAATGATTTTATGGTTGGGGGTCATAACATGAAGAATTGTGTTAGAGGGTTACAGCATTAGTAGTTGAGAGCCCCTGTTCTACTAAAGTGTTTAACTTAAATGGATGGCTGGCTTTTTCTACAGTGTAAGTTAACTAGACATGACAATACTATGTACCTCTAAGGAAGTGATGAGTAAATAATTGAGACCTTTCTTCCTTCCTAACTTCTTTCCTTTTGTGTGTGGTTTTTTGAGGCAGGGTTTTTGTGTTAACAGCTCTTGCTGTCATGGAACTTGCTTTGTAGACCCTTGATCCCAAATTTACAAAGACCCAGCTGCCACCGCCACTGCCGAACTGGAACTTTATTATTGTCTTTCTTGAACAATTCTGCCATGAATGAGTTACAAAACCTAGTTCACATAATCCTGCTTTCATTTCATCTTATTTGATATGTTGATTGGAATGGCCCATATTTAAACATGGTGACACATGCCTCTAATCTAATCTCAGCATTTAGGAGGCAGAGGAATCTCTGTGGGTTCCAGGACAGCCAAGGCTATAGGGTGAAGCCCTGTCTGGGGACGGGTAGGGTGGAGAAGAAAGTAGATAGAGTCTGTCTGTAGGTCTCTTATATCAGGCTAGGGAGATGCCCGAGTCCAAACATACTGAGTGTTGGTAGTGTGCTAATGACCCCCAAAGATTGCATTCTTCCCAGAATTTCCACATTGTTTAGATTGCATTTTAACTTCCACATTTCCTGATCATAAGATCTTGTTTAATAGAAGAGCCCCATTTCTTTTTTAAACTGAAAATATTCTTCTAAACTTGGTGAGTGTCTGGAAATAGGTTCCCCCAAGCCTTTGGAGAATAGAAAATAGTGATTCTTGAACATGGTTGGTTGTACTTGGGGCAGTATTGGTAGGTGTGGGAAGGAAAATAAATGTTACTGACTTGGATTCTATTTTCCAAAGATTGCAACCAAATTTGGGGAAGAAAGATCCATGTTTCATGTGGTAAATTGTGGTAATGTTGGTTGTCACCAGTTGGTTCATTAGCAACATTGTTCTCTATTTGTGTGTTGGGGGAGGATTCTTTTGAGAGAGAGGATAGACACTTGTAATTGTCCAGACTGACATTGAACTAGTGGCAAGCCTCCTGCCTTGGCCCTGGATGCTGGGATTGCTGGGTAGCAAAATTTCAGTATGGGCATTTGATCATGTGTCTTAATTTAAAGTGGTCTCCCCTTCCTGGTGATACTTGGGATAGTCTACTTTGTTTGTTTAGTGTTTTCTTTTTCCCCTTGCTTGCTTACAATCCTTTCTCTTCTCCTATGCCATGGAAATGACCTATTTCGTACACCAATGTCCAGGGACTAGCCCAAGGCAGAGTCATTCAGATGGTTTAGCAGATAATTGCCTACCGGTATACACATTTTTAGCATATGTGGATGTCTGGCTGAATGATGGCTTATTTTTAAAATTTATTTATTTATTATGTATACAATATTCTGTCTATGTCTGCAGGCCAGAAGAAGGCACCAGACATCATTACAGATGGTTGTGAGCCACCATGTGGTTGCCGGGAATTGAACTCAGGACCTTTGGAAGAGCAGGCAATGCTCTTAACCACTGAGCCGTCTCTCCAGCCCTGAATGATAGCTTCTAAAAGCAGCCTAAAAAGCATGTATGCTATATTGAGTATTCTAACTGTAAAACAAGAACTTTTATTGTTATAAAAAAATAGAATGAAATGAGAGAAAAATTTAAATGTCTTAAACTCCCCCCCCCCCCCCAAAAGTCAGGACCAAGAAATCTCAGCCTGGGGAGACAACATTAAGTGCTCTTTTTTCTTCTTCCAAATTTACATATTTGCCTGCATGTATGTCTGTACTACTTCCATACAGGGCCCTCAGAGGCCAGAAGAAGTTTGGATTACCTGGAACAGGAGTTACAAATAGGTACAAGCTACAATTGAACTTGAATCTTCTGAAAGAGCAGCCAGTGCTCTTAACTGCTGAGTCATCTCTCCAGCCCACCTTCAGGTCGTTTTAATCTTGTGTGGGTATTACTAATGTCTTCAGTCTCTAATGAGATGGAAATTTGATAGCTTTTAACAAACTGAGTGATGATTGAATATCAACTTGGTACATATTCTCTAAACATCTCCCACAAGGTAGCCAAAGGAAAAACTAACCATATCTTGTCTTATAAATATAGCCAATGGGCTAGTAAGGTGACTAAGTCTCTTGCCAGTAAACCTGAGGACATTGATTTAATCACTAGGACACACATGGGTGAAATGAGAACTTGCACATAAAATAGATTTGGGGGTGAGAGGTCAAGACAGGGTTTCTCTATATAACAGTCTTTGCTGGACTACTGAGTGCTGGGATTTAAGGTGTGCGCCTCCACCAAGCGGTACAAAAAATGCAAATTTTAAAATTAAAAATTTTAATGTCTATCTTAGATTGCAAATGCCTGTGGTTTCATATTTGCCAGGTTCGCTCTTTACGTTAATATAAACAAAGCATCTTTTTTGATGCCATTTAATGCTGAATGTATTGCTTTACTTTTTCTTTGTAGGCTAAAGAAATCCTGACAAAGGAATCCAACGTGCAAGAGGTTCGATGTCCGGTCACAGTGTGTGGAGATGTACACGGGCAATTTCATGACCTCATGGAACTCTTTAGAATTGGTGGTAAATCACCAGATACAAATTACCTGTTTATGGGAGACTATGTGGACAGAGGATATTACTCAGTTGAAACAGTTACACTGCTTGTAGCTCTTAAGGTAATTTTACTTTTTCTGTTTGGGCCTTTTGAACTGGGTGAAAGCCCTCTGGAATGTTTTTTTCCTACCATGATTTGTTCTCTTCATCTGAATGTTAAATTTTAGAACAAACTTCCATGCCTAATTAGGAATGCAAAGAATGTGAGTGTCAAACTTAATCATCCTGTCTGCATTAGGAGCCAGAAGGTGGTTCAGAACATGGTGCCATGGGATACCTTGGGGTCTTTTGTTTGTTTTTAGACAGAATCTCACTACATAGCTCTAACTGTCGTGGAACTCACTATGTAGACCAGGCTGGCCTCAAACCCAAAGAGTTCGTAGCCTGCCCGTCTCCAAGTGTTGTGACTGGCAAACTAATCAAGTACAAGTTTTAGTTTAGTACATTGACAGTGGAAATAATATGACTGCATTAGGTATTCGGAGAGTTCGAACATCTATGTTGGGTTATTTACATCATTTGACAGTCCTGTGAAAATGTGATAAAGGAAGAATTGAGAGAAAAAGATCAGATTTATTAAGCGAAGATTTTTTTGTCTTTAATATTAGAAAAGAGATTTGATCTTAGTGTACAAGACTGAGCAAATACCTAAACAATAGTTTATTCCCTTGGAGTAATAACAGACATGAGAAATGAAGGCAGTAGTGTCAGCTCTGGTGAGGCTCAGGTAAAAGAGTTGAAGCTAGTCTGGTTTGTATAATAAGACCTTTTCTTTAAAAAAAAAAAAAGAGGAAGAAAAATAATAATAATAATAATTAAAAGAAGCAAATTGGGCTGGGAGAGATGGCTTAGAGGGTAAGAGCACTGACTGCTCTTCCAGAAGTCCCAAGTTCAGTTCCCAGCAACCACGTGGTAGCTCACAACCATCTGTAATGAGACCCGGTGCCTTCCTTGCCAGCAGTCCATTGTATGCTTAATAAATAAATAAATCTTTAAAAAAAGAAAAGAAGCAAATTTTAGAGTCCTTGTCATTTGTAGCTCTGAAATGTAGAGGTGAAGAATCAATGCTGAAACACGTTGGCATTGATTTAGAGTCGAATGCTGCCTCTGCCTTAGGAAGCTGTTTTACTTTACCTTACAGGGGGAAAGTTTACCGCTCTTCCTAGGCAACAAACTCACTTTTTTATTGAAGAATATTCTGAACAAAAAATTTGCTGTCACCAATTTTTCTAACGTAGAGAAGTGGTCAGAGTTAGAGCTAACTGATGATGAGCATTTACAGTACTGAGAATACTGAGCGTTTAGAGTAGATGGTGGGCACTTTGTACAGTGACTATAGATAAGAAGCTGGTAGCCCAGGTTCATGTGGAAGGGCTGGGCTGCCTTTAAGAATCCATGTACCACTGGGCCTGATTGACACTACTTAAATCCCAGTACTACTATGGAGGCAAAGGCAAACTGAACTCTGAGTTCAAGGGTAGCTTTGTCTAACACATAAAGCTCCCACCATCAAAGGTTCTATCCCTGTCTCAAAAAACAATATCAAGAAAATTTATATACTAAAGACTAGACTGCATTGTGTACTCCTAAATATCATGGGCACAAATCTTAATTCCCTGAACCTCAGAGTGTGGCTGCACTTGGTGCTAGCCCTTTACATGAATAGTTAAATAAAACGAGATTATATGGGTGGTTCTATAAAAAAAGATTAGGAGGCTAAGGAGATAGTGCAGTTGGAAGACCTGAGTTCAATTCTCAAAACCCATTTTTTAAAGTGCCAAGCATGGAGACATCCCAACCCTGAAGAAGTAGAGTCCCTGAGGCTCACTGGCCAGCTAGCCTAACTGAGCTCCCGGACAGTGAGATGCTGTCTCCAAGGGGGCAGATGACCATTTGTAAGGATAATGCGCGCGAGGTTGTCCTCTGCCTCCAGGTATATATGAACAAAGGGAAGAAGATGAGAGAAAACTGCTGTCTGAATCAAGAGACGACTTTAAGAGACCCCAGCTCTGCTGACATCTTGTGGAAGGGTACCTCTGTAGTGTATGGACTCACTGTGAAACTCACAACACTATGGGGAAAGTGGCCCTTTTTCAAATGCATCAGAACAGATTGTTGGCCTAAATGAATAGCAGAGGCTATAAATTTAAGAAGAAAAAAAAGTCTGCTCTTGATTAGGCTCAGATTTCTCAGCTGTGTTCATAGAACGATAATCCAGGGTTGGGGATGCAGCCAAGTTTCTAGAGTGCTTGGTTAGCATGCAGAAAGCCCTGCATTTGACCCCCAGCACAGTATTATAAGTGTAATAATATATGCGTGTAATTCTAGCAATTAGGGAATGGAGGCAGGAGGAGCAATTCAAAGATGCTGCAAAGAAGCAGCATTTGTTCAAATTATTACTTTCTTGGTGCTTCTGGTTGAACTCAGCCTCCCGCATGCTAGCACAGGTTCACCCCTGAGCTATAGCCTCGCTTCAGATTTAAAACATTTTTACAGTTACTTGTTAATTTTATTTAACTGTGTGACGTACATACATGCCATCAAGCAAGTATGGAAGTCAATTCTCCTTTCACCTTATGGGTCCTAGAAAGCAGATTGGTAGGTAAGAGATGAAATGTAGCCATAACTAATCAGGGCCAGTGAGATGTCTGAATACAGACAGTTGCCACAGAACCTAATGTCTTGAATTTGATAATTAGAACCCACATGGGCAGAATAAAATGACATATACACATGCACTTACAAAAATGAATGTAATTTTAAAATTAGGCTTGATGGCAGACACCTTTACTCTCAGCCATTACGCCAACCCACACGTACCTTTTTTAAAGGGCCTGTTAATAATAAGAAGGGGTTTTTGTGGTTGTTTGTGGGGGTTGTTTGGGTTTTTATTTTACAGGTGACAGGGTGTCCAGCCAAGACTGCCCTGCAGTCATCTTAGTGTTGGGATTATAAGCTTGTACGGCCATGTCAAGACAGATTTCTTTCTTTCTGTTTGTTTTGTTGTTTTATTTTTGTTTTTTGAAGCAGGGTTTCTCCGTACCTGTTGTGGCTGTCTTAGAACTTGCTTTGTAGCTCAGGCTGGCAAAGTCACAGATCCACCTGCCTCTCTGCCTCCTGAGGGCCTAGATTACAGATGTGCGTCAACATCAGCCAGCTAAGACAGATTTCTTGAGACAGGATCATATAGCTTGAATAAGCCTCAAATTCTTCATCCATCTGCATGGATACCTAACCTCAGATCGATAATCTAATTTTTTTTTAAATATTTATTTTATTTATTTATTATGTATATAATATTCTTTCTGCGTGTATGCCTGAAGGCCAGAAGAGGGCACCAGACCTCATTTCAGATGGTTGTGAGCCACCATGTGGTTGCTGGGAATTGAACTCAGGACCTTTGGAAGAGCAGGCAATGCTCTTAACCGCTGAGCCATCTCTCCAGCCCATCGATAATCTAATTTTAAATGGGCAAAGTACTTAAACAACTACTTCAGCCTAGAAGATAGATGGTCAGTAAGGACATGGTTAGTTAACATTGTAAGTAATTAGGGAAATCTACATTGAAGTCACATATACCAACTAATTCATGTCTTTTACGAATACAGTGACTACAGTAAATATCATAGATGAATATGTCAGGAAATTAGACACCTCATCCATTCCTGTCAAGAATGTAAAATGGTCCGACCACTTTGAAGAATTTTGATGAAGTTGGATATAAAGCAATCATACACTACACTGTAGGAATATGTTCAAGAAATAGAAAGCATGTGAGCAAATGTGCTCAGTAGCTAATAGATGGGAAGACCAGAGCAAGTGCAGAAACCATGGCACATGGCTACCCTGTGAAGATGTGCGTCCCCATCCAACTCAGCATGTTCACTCCAGGGTGGTTCTCCAAGGGAATACAGCACAAGAGGCTGCGTTCTGTCATTTTTCACTTAATTTAAATGTCTAGAAAAGGCATTCTCAAAAGACAGAAGTACATCAGTGGTTGTCAGGAGCTGGGGAAGGATTGCAGATAGGCATGAGATCATTGTAAGAAATGCAAAGCTCTAAAATTTGGTGTGGTGATTGTTGCCTAACTGTAAATTTAGTAAAGGTCATAGAAAAACCTTTTACACAAGATGGTACAGGGAGTGTGGTTTTAATTGAAGTGATATTGATAAATACTTTAAAAAAAATGTTTATTATCACCAGATGTGGTGGTGCACACTTTTAATCCCAGCACTTGGGAGACAGAGGCAGGCTGATCTCTGAGTTTGAGGCCAACCTGGTCTACAGAACAAGTTCCAGAGAAGCCCTGTCTCAAAAAAAAAAAAAAAAAAGTTTATAATGTATGGTTTCAGTCCATTGAAATGTAGAAATTTTTTTTTCCTTCAAAATTGGAACTATCGGTTTCCCTATAGAAAGTTTTATGAAATATCAGTTGGTTTGTTTTGTTTTGGGAAAGAGCTAGCTGTCTGTCTGTTTCACTGTAGGTTCGTTACCGTGAGCGTATCACCATACTCCGAGGGAATCATGAGAGCAGACAGATCACACAGGTTTATGGTTTCTACGATGAGTGTTTAAGGAAATACGGAAATGCAAATGTTTGGAAATACTTCACAGACCTTTTTGACTACCTTCCTCTCACTGCCTTGGTGGATGGGCAGGTGCGTGTGCCTTAAACTTGCTGCTGCTTCCCTTTTTTCCAGTTACTGCTTTCTTAGTGTTGAAGTTTTTCCTATGTATCAGGTACTGAACTGTACAGAATGGGACTGTGGGGGTGGAAAATATAACCCATTCAGCTTTGGGTGCTGTTTGTAGAGGAGTCTAGGAGACATAAAAGAGGTGTTTGCTAGTAGATGTGTACTTAGAAACTTGGGCAAAACTTCTGAGTGTGAAGGTAACTACCAGTAGGGTAAGGTTAAAGAGACTCCTTGTTGAAGGAGCCTCAGCCATGACAATTGGTAAAGAAGAATGGATACTCAGTGCTTGGGGCTTGGGCAGAACAATGGCCAACTCTTGAGAGTCAAGCCTCATTGAAATGGAGAGGGCCTAGAAACTGATGTGACCAAATGATGGAGGCTCCTACCTGAACTGTGCCCCAAATAGTTTAATTTCTCTCTAGGTATAGTTACCATTTGTAATCCATCTTTTTAGATCTTCTGTCTACATGGTGGTCTGTCACCGTCCATAGACACACTGGATCACATCCGAGCACTTGATCGCCTACAAGAAGTTCCTCATGAGGTATGACTTATCTTTGATAAATCTCAGAAACCATAGGAAAGGGGGAAATGGCTTAACTGTAGCTTAATTCATTGTGTGTCAACTCAAATTGTAAGTGAAGTGGCACATGAGCCTTAGCATTTCTCAGAAGAAATGTAGAAGCCTCTGGTGTTGCTTTTAGCCCATGCTGCCTAACAGTGAAGGTGCACTGGCGTACCTATAGGATGACCTACTGATGGAGCGCGCCTGTTGCTCTGCACTGGGCCTTGGTAGAAGCGCTTCTCATTTCAGAGAGAGCTTAACTGCAAAAGTCATGCCTCGCTAGCAGACACCACTCAAAAGTGACTTGCACTTGGAGTGCGGCTTCTATTGAATTATCAAATCAAGAATTTCCACTTTGGTAAGAGTCAGCTTATAACTTGTACCTGCTTTTTAGGGTCCAATGTGTGACTTGCTGTGGTCAGATCCAGACGACCGTGGCGGCTGGGGGATATCTCCTCGAGGAGCTGGTTATACCTTTGGCCAAGATATTTCTGAGACATTTAATCATGCCAATGGCCTCACGTTGGTGTCCAGAGCTCACCAGCTGGTAATGGAGGTATGTTCTTTTCTTTGAAAAAGTTAGTCAGACTAACTTTAATGACAGTCCTTTATTCCCATAGAGTCTACCACTGGAGCTGAACCCTTTTCCGTCGGTGTGCAGTCAAATGAAAGTCAGGTTTATGATGATAGTGGTGTATATATTTTAATGGATCTTCAGGTTTTGTTCGGTGTTTTGTTTTGTTTTGTTTTAAGGCAGGGTTTCTCTGTAGCTTTGGAGCCTGTCCTGGTACTTGATCTGCTTGCTCTGTGTAGCCCAGGCTGGCCTCAAAGAGATCCATCTGCCTCCCGAGACTGGGACTAAAGCTGTGCACCACCGCTGCCTGGCATATCTTCAGATTCTTACTGACTTGGAGTAACTTGGGATCTAATGGTGAGAGGGTGCAGATGTAGAGATAGAGAAGGGTATAATAAAGTGCAATTGTGTTTATACATATTCAGTATGTCTGTGTAGGAAAGGGAAGGAACTTCAAAGCATTGCTGTAGTCCTTTGGATGCCTAGACTGTAGGTGATGAGAAAGAAGTCTCCTAGTGGGTTATTTTTTTTAATATTTATTTATTTATTATTATTTATACAGTATTCTTCTGCAGGCTAGAAGAGGGCACCAGACCTCATTACAGATGGTTGTGAGCCACCATGTGGTGGCTGGGAATTGAACTCAGGACCTTTGGAAGAGCAGGAAATGCTCTTAACTGCTGAGTCATCTCTCCAGCCCCTCTAGTGGGTTCTTGAAACATGGGCTACCATAATTTCTCCACTAAAGTGTTGTAAGGACTTATCCTGAGACAAGTATGGCTGTACAGGCCTGCACCCTTGTTAGTTAGGATGAATCAGGATTGCCTTGTGATCCAGACCAGCCTGGGCTGCACAGTGAGGCCCTATCTCAAATAAGTTCATTTTAAAATTATGTTTAAGGTCATGTAAATGAAAGAAAGATTTATAGAAACGTACTATATAAGAAGCAGATTAATATTTGGTGATGGATATTATTTAAAATGGCTTTGTTTGCTTGCTTAATTTATTTATTTGGTTTCTTGGAATATGATCTTCTGTCTTAATAGTTTTTTTTTCTGCCTCTTTTTTTACAGGGATATAACTGGTGCCATGACCGAAATGTAGTAACAATTTTCAGTGCTCCAAACTATTGCTATCGTTGTGGTAACCAAGCTGCAATCATGGAACTTGACGACACTCTTAAGTATTCTTTGTAAGTATCTGCCTGAGCTAGAGCTGCTTGCTCTCCAGCTCTTGTTAAACCATATTACAGGTTGACTACGATTTCATGGGAATGAACCTACACGTAACAGAAATTAGTTTCTCTTATTTGGAACCCAGACTGAATTGATTTATTAGGTCTTGCTTCTTGTTGTTGTTGTTGTTGTTGTTGTTGTTGTTGTTGTTAACAGGGTCTTACTATATAGCTCTGTTTTCACTGAAACTCACACTATATAGACCAGACTAGCCTTGAGCTCATAGAGATCCACCTGCCTCTGACTCCCGAGTGCTGGTACTAAAGGCCGTTGCCACTAAGTTCAGTGGTCTTCAATTTCTAAACCCATGTTTTTATTATGGATCAGATCAGTGTGTTAGACACTTAAATGATCTTATTAGAAGGGGCCATTATATGAAAATATAGTATCAAGGACTGAAGTACAGTTACAACACAGGTTCAAAGCTTTAATCTTAGTACTTGAGAGACTGAGGCAGGAAGTTTGGGAGGTTAAGGACATCCTTGACTACTTTTTCTGTTGCTCTAACCAAAACCAACATGGGATTAGGGGGAACAGTTGTTCAGGCTACAGTTCCAAGTTCTAGTCCACCATTGAAAGGAAGTTGAAGGCAAGAACACAACACAGCTACTCAAATAACATCCACAGTCGAGAGCATAGAGCTAGGTGTAGTGACATATACCTTAATTCCAACAGAGGCAGGAGAATCTCTGTGGATTTGAGGCCAACCTAGTCTATATAGAGTTTCAGAGCCAGCACTGTATTAAGAAACCTTGACTCAAACAAAACAAAAAAGTAGAGATAAATGTGTGGTTCCTTACTTAGGCTCAGTTAGCTCTGTCTAGAGAATGGTAATGGCCACAGTGGGCTTGGTGTTCCTACACCTGTCATCAAGACAGTCTTCCACAAACATGCCCACAGCCCAACCTAATTCAGACAAGTCCTCAGTTAAACTGTCCCCAAGTAGCCAGGTGGTGGTGGCGCACCCCTTTAATCCTAGCACTTGGGAGGCAGAGGCAGGCGGATCTCTGTGAGTTCGAGGCCAGCCTGGTCTACAAGAGCTAGTTCCAGGACAGGAACCAAAAAGCTACGGAGAAACCCTGTCTCGAAAAACCTAAAAAAAAAAAAAAAAAAAGTTGGGTTCATTTTTTTTTTTTTGTATTTATAACCCACGCTGGTCTAGAACTGTGATTCCCTTGCCTCAGTTTCCCAAGTGCTGATGTTACAGCGGTGCCCAACTTTGAACTGAAATTGGATAAGAAATAAACCATAATATTTGAAAAATGGACGGTTTAATAAATACATGGTGTATTCTTAGAATAGAAACAGTGAACCTTATTTTGTTTTTCAGCTTGCAGTTTGATCCAGCACCTCGTAGAGGCGAGCCACATGTCACTCGTCGTACCCCAGACTACTTCCTGTAATGGAAATTTAAACTTGTACAGTATTGCCATGAACCGTATATTGACCTAATGGAAATGGGAAGAGCAACAGTAACTTCAAAGTGTCAGAAAATAGTTAACATTCAAAAAACTTGTTTTCACACGGACCAAAAGATGTGCCATATAAAAATACAAAGCCTCTTGTCATCAACAGCCGTGACCACTTTAGAATGAACCAGTTCATTGCATGCTGACGCGACATTGTTGGTCAAGAATCCAGTTTCTGGCATAGCTCTATTTGTAGTTACTTTTGCTTTCTTGAGAGACTGCAGAAATAGGATGTAAACATTAACACCTGTGAGTCCAGTTGACTTCCACTTAGCTGTAGCTTACTCAGCATGACTGTAGATGAGGATAGCAAACAATCATTGGAGCTTAATGAACATTTTTAAATAAGTACCAAGGCCTCCCCTCTTGTTTCTTTTCAGGGATACCATTTAATTTAATTGTATGATTTGTCTGCACTCGGTTTATTCCCTTCTCCAATCTCAGCCCCACGTTGTTCTTTGTTATTGTCAGAAACCCTGGTGAGTTGTTTTGGATAGAACTGTTTCCCCTCCTGTAAGATGACGTCACTGCACAGTCACCGCAGTGTTTTCATAATAAACTTGAGAACGGAGAAAGTCAGCATTGGATTGTATCAGTGGGCACGACTGGTGCTGTTTATTACACAAGATAAATCAATTGATCAATTTCGGAATTTGTAGAATTCCAGGTAAAGAAAAATAAAGATCAAGGCCACTGTGTAACCTCTCTGGCAACTCCTTGGCGTTCTTCAGAAGAACTTGGGGACTTGTTTGTCTGACATTGCAGTTTGTCTTGTTGCTGGCCTGCGCTTGTGAAAGGAATCTGCTGCTTCAGTAGGACTTGATTGTTAACCATAGAACTCAAGAGTTTGTTTTTAGGATTTTACTTAAAATGGCATGTTTTCAGGTAGAACTTAACTAAATGATGTGTCTAATTAGTGTAGTTTCTGGTTATAAATATATTGCTATGTATATTTCATGACTCTTTAAAATGATTGACAGAATGGTAAGTTCTTAACAAACATTTGTACATTTCTTGTCAAGTCGTGATCTTAGAGTTAAATTTGTCTCAGATAAGCTGTTAGAGCCTTAGCCTGTGTTAAGTTCCTTAAGCGGTAAATCAGTGAAGCCAAGTAGGAGCCAACTTTTGGGTTAGGGTTTGTGTTTTGTCCCAGACCTGGAGTGGTACCTGAGTGCCGTGCTCAGCAGGTTTTCCCTTATATTCTTTGACTTGGCATAGAAAACGAAGAGTTCTTCTGCGGGGACTGAATATTTGGGCAGACATCAGGATGCGTAATCATTGCTGTGTGAGTGTGGTAAATAAATGCTTCCTTGCTTTGTACTGTGTTGAATTTGGAACCAACAGTGAAGTTACAACACTGCCCTGCATAAACAAACCAGTTTATGAGTTAATTGTCCAAATCGAAAGGCCCTTGGTTTTTCTAGGTTATCTTTTCTGAGAAAAAAACACATTCTCCAGCCTGTTATTTTTGCTAGTTGTCTTTTCTTCCTGGCCAAACAAATAACATCTATGTACAGTACTTTATTAAAAAAGAGAGAAAGAAGACGAGGTTGGGGTGTGGGGCGAGCAGGGGGACAGGGTCTTACTGTGTGGCCATGAGTGACTTGGAACTTGTTGTATAGACCAAGCTGTCCTGGAACGCATGGGTGATCCTGCCTCCACGTGCCACGATGCCCAACTTATGTACTTCTGATCTGACAATAAAGTGGTATGAACACCAAGTGGCTCCTGAGGAACCTGACAGTGATAGATGGGCTCTAATGGAGTCAGGGTCCTGTAGTTGACAAGTGTCGGCTACATATAAATTCTCAGAATGGGGCTTGTGGCAAAGATGGGTTGATTTCCAAATCATTGTGAGTTGGGGCAAATTACTAGGCTTTCCATCTAAACTTAAAGATGTTAATACTTTAATCTGACTGTAAAAATAATAAAATGTGTGAGCTTCATAATTTTTTCTAAAAATCTAATTAGAGTTGGATGGAAATACTGAAGAATTTCTTAATGGATACTATAATGAGATTGCCATAATTTTTTAAGCTTGATTAAGAGCAAAAAAATTGTCAAAATGAGAATTACGAAGGAGTCTGGAGAGCTGCTTAGCAGTTAATCAATTCCCCACTGTCTGTAACTTTAGCTTCAGGATCTCGTTTCTCCCTTATGGCCTCCACATCAGGCACACACATGGTGTACATACCTGCAGGCAAAAAAACGCTTATGTACATAAAATAAAACAAGGGTTTTTTTTTTTTTTAAAGAAATATTAATTATGGCTACAGCTATAGTGTTGGTAGAGCGGTTGCCTAGCATGTACTGTGTCCTGGGTTCTAGCTCCAAAAGTCATGTATGATGGCACACATCTGACCCCAGCCTTTTGGAAGCAGATGATGGATCTCTACTTAAGAGTCTGAGTGCTTCAGACAGAAGTTTGTTTACCTCAGTGCTGGTGAGACAATAAAGGCACGCACTTAACATCAAACATGAAGGCTGGAACTCCACTTTGTGGCACCCACATGGTGGAAGGAAAGAACCTACTCCTGCAAGTTGTCCTCTGACCTCTGTACACAAAAAGCAGTGATGTGTATACCCACGTACACAGATGTTTAAAAAAAAATTGGTGCTAGAGAGACGGATCAATGGTTAAGAGCTAGCCGGTGCTGTTCTTGAAGAGGACCCATATCCCCTTCTGAAGCTTCATGGTTGCCCCTAACTCTAGCTCTAGGGGATCCAGTGCCTCTGACCACTGTGGACATCAGCATTCATATGCACATACATACATACACATAATTTTTAAGGTAAATGCATTTTTTAATTAAAAAGTTTGAGATAAATCTCATTGTTGGGTTTGAATATTTTAAGAAATATGCATATTGTTTTTATTTTAAAACATAAAAACAATGTCCTATTAAAAGGGCACCAGGTTAAGTATGCCTCAAGCATATTTTTGGGGGGGGGGTCCTAGCTGTTATAATGCATTATAGAGTGGATAGTGGTGTGGTTGTCACCCTGTGTAGTAGGGCATCAGAGCCTCTTGATACCATTTAACCATTGGGAGACATTTTATCTTTTTTCTTACCCATGCAAAAGACTTTCCCTTTTCTTAGCTGACATTTGTTTCCATTTATCAGTGTGATTGATGCCCACAGATGCCAGAAGATGGCACAGATCCCCTAGGGCTTCAGAGATTGGACTTCTGGAACAGCAGCAAGTGCTCTTAGCCTCTGAGCCATCTTTTCATCCCCTCCTGGCTACATAGTAAATATTTGTTGTTGTCGATGTGATTTGAATGGGTGAATGGGAGCGTAATGTCGATTCTGCTCTTTTTCAGAATGACCTGGCTTCATTGGAAACAATAGTTATTTCTGTGGATTTCAATCTTGATGTCCATAGAGATTTTAAATTATTTGGAGGAGAGCTTGGGCATAAGTATGTCTAGGGCTAAGAACCTTGGCTCGGGCCAGGCGAAGAAAAGAAAAAGAAAAAAAACCTTGACTCGGCCTGGCGTGGTACACATAATATCAGCAATTGGAAGGCAGAGACAAGTGAATCACTGAGTTCCAGGCCAACCAGGGCTACATAGTGAAACAGTCTTGTTTTGTTTTGATATTTCTGTTTTGTTTTTTGTTTGTTTTTAGAGATAGGGTCTGGTCTTACTGTATAGCTCTTGCTGTCTTGAAACTATAGTCCAGGCTGGCCTTGAATTTACAGAGATCACTTGCTTCTGCTTTCCAAGTGCTGGAATTAAAGGTTTATATTACCATGCCTAACATGAACCTGTCTTAAAAATAAAGAACGTTGCTTGTTTCTGAACTACACCTGGGTTTTTGTGGTGATGGTGGTATCTTTTGGGGTGGCAATGACTTTACTAATGTGTTCCTAGAAACAGCCAATAGTTTGATAATAGGCTTAGTTTTGAAATGGATTCTGTCCTTTTGACTTAAACCTTTTTTTGTTAACCTCTTAATCTCATTAGTTCTTTGACTATTTTTAGCTTTTATAAACTAATATTTGGGTTTTTTTTCCCACAGTTGTGCCTGTGGAAATAATCTTGTCAGCCAGGCATGGTAACGCACGCCTTTAATCTCCGCACTTGGGAGGCAGAGGCAGGCGGATCTCTGATTTCGATGCCAGCCTGGTCTACAAAACAAGTTCTAGGACAGCCAGGGCTGTTAAAAGAGAAACCTTGTGTTGAAAAACACTAAAATAACCATTGTCAAGGTTATGCATGTATTTGGGCATGACTAGTGATGGCCATGCCTCTTGTCAGACTGTTAGAGCTGTAAGGATGTTGTTTGATTGTGACATTTTAATACGTGTGTGGACTTTGATGGCCCTCCATTCTCATTTCCATTCTCTACCTTGATCGTGTAAATTCCTTCCAGTAATATGACTTGTTATTTTTGTTTGTTTTTGTTTTGAGACGGGGTCTTATGTAACCCTGGCTAACTTGGGACTCATCCACCTGCCTCTGCTTCCTCAGGTACTGGGATTAAACACGTGGACCTTCACACTTGGCCTGATACGGCCATTATAACAATATTCTTCTGATAGTGTCTTGTGTTGTGTATTGCATGGTTATGTTATAGAATCTTCCTCCTTGGTTAGGTTTGTTGCTAGATTTTTTTTTTAGATTTGTGAATGAGATTTAATAGGTTATTACTATATAAAAATACTGTTTTTTTTAATAAAAAGATTTTATCACTAACGTGTAAGATATGTTTTTGAGTATGGGCATGCCATAGTGTGCATGTGTTGGTCAGAGGACTAATTAAGTCAGTTCGTGTGATCTGGGGTGGACCTCAGGCTTACCTGTCTTGCTGGTCCCACGCTACTGGCTTTTAGATGTTGGTTTTGTAATCTTGCTACTTGACTGAATTTATTAGGTCTAAAAGTTCCTAGAGCTTCAGGGTCTTTTTAAATATAGGACCATATGCTCTATAAATAGGAAAAAAATACATATGCATATATATTTAAATGGTCTCACTGTCCAATCCTGCTGACCTGCCTGAGTTGGAATTTGCTGTGAAAATGAGGCTGTCTCTGCCTGCCTAGTGCTGGGATGATGTAAGGTGTGCTTTCCCATGCTGGGATCTAATTGCAGATGACCTTGAACCTGACCTTCTTGTCTTGGGCTCCCAGGTGCTAGAATTAACAGGTCTTTGATTTCTGTATTACTTTTACTGATTTAAAACAAATCATAATAAGCCCTCTTTGCATTCCTGGGATTAAACCATCTTGATGGTTAATTACCTTTTTAATATTGTTAAATTGAGTCTGCAAGTATTTTGAGAATTTTTATGTTGAAGATGTTAGTCTATAGTTTTTTTTTCTTTTCTTTTTTTTTTTTTTGGTTGTGTCCTTTGGTGAGTTTAGAACCAACCAGCATGATCCTCACAGAATAATGTTGCAGGCAAGTCTCAGTATATTGTGGGATAGTTTGAAGAAGTTACCTTCCAGTGTCTGTTACTTCATGCTCAGCACTTCTATGCATGTTCTGCCATTGTGTGTGCAAATGCACCACATGCATGCCTGGTGCTCACAGAGGCTAGAAAGAAACATGGGGTCTTCTGAGAACTGAACTTACTATGAGTGGCCATTTGGGTGGTGTGAATTCACTCAGTAGACTAGACTGGCCTTGAACTCAGACACCAGCCTGTCTGCACCACCACTGCCTGGGATTTGTTCTTTGTTTTATGTGTCTGAGATCTAGCATGATCTCTTTGTCGTCCTCTCTTTTCTTACTGTCTGTAAGCTTTCTCACCAACCTTACCTTCAAACCTGGAAGTCAGTCTAGTCAGCTTCCTCTCTGTTTAATTCTGCTTTATTTTTGAGACGTGTCTCAGTGTAGCCCAGGTTGGCCTCTGTATTCATTCTAACACTGCCTCTCAAGTACCTCAATCTTTTTTGATACACCTCTCCGGGATTCCTTATCCTGAATTTCTTCTAACTAAATGTCTGGAGTAGAGCCCTTCACTCCTGGGTGCTGGTTGTGTGCTGCATTGGTGCTTCTCTTAGAGACCCCAGGTTGATACTTGGTAGAACAGGCAGGTAGGTTTAGACAGTGATGTCTGTGGGCTTGCTCCTGAGATTCCCTCTGATCTTTTAAGAACATTCGGTGTGAGGGGGTATGAGGCAGCTTGCCCTCTTGACTCTGCACAGATAGGTGGTGTCTAGTCTTAATGTTCCTCCCTGCTGTTGCTGTGGGATCTTGAACCCCACCCCTTTCCCACTTCCTAGATATTCTCACTTGAATCCAGTTGTTGGTTTGGGGTTTTATGTCCCTTGGAGGTTAAAATAAAATACTTGACGTCAGAGTGGAGAAGTGCCTTTATTTTATGTAATCGTGAACAAATAAATACCCAAGGAGAGAGTTATTCTGACCCAGTCTCAGGGATACAGTCTGCCATGGTGGGAAAGGAACAGTGGTTAGGGCTACCTTATTGGTGGCAGCAGGAGTAAGAGATGTCATATGGCAGCAGACAGGAAGCAGAGGTGCCTCAGAGATCTGCCCCTGTGACTCAGTCTGCCAGACAGGTCTCACAACCTCCCACAACACCACCAGTTGGGACCAGCTATTGAGACGCGGGCTAGTGCGGAACATAGAGATCTGTCCCTCTTGGGTGAATAGTGTGTAAAGGTGAGTGGCGGAGCTGCTACCTAGCCTACCAAAAGTGCATGGACACAGATGACGACCAAAGCCAGCAGACAGAGTGAAAAACGCCCACCATGATAATCACCGACCACACAGAAATGAGCGGAAATAGGTTGTTGGCCAAAGAGCTGCAAATGAAGGTAGGAAATGCAAAGCAAAAAGCAGAATATTGAAGAGTGGAGTGGAAACTAAGTTCAAACAGTCAGGAAAGGGGGTGTGACCACAATGGATTATGGAAGTAATTCTCGGAAGAACAAACACACTGTCTAGGCTCTGTGTTCAGGTGGCACTCTATGGTGCCTGGCCAGATACCCTTCTGTGCTATACTCAATAAACTTATAAACATACATACCCCACCTCCTGATCCTCTGTGTGTGTCATTGCCCCTACTGTGGTGGGCAAACAAAGAGGACCACTCCTGCCAATCTTCTCGGCAATCCTTGTCTTCTGGCTGCTGGGGGAATATCACCCCATTGTCATTATTTGATCAGTGTGAGTGGTGGGACCAGGGCTGGCTGGAATACTTTATGGTATCCCTTTATGAAGTTCCCTCGGTTGGAATCCAATGATCTTCAGTTGCCCTCAAACGCCTGGAAGAG